TCTTCTTGTGCCCTACTATATTAAGTGCTTATTATTTACTCACGTAATCTGCATATAAACAACACAACTGGTTCATTTAGAAACTGGGGTTACCGCCATTACTTCCGGAGGAACAAAAACTCGGAGAAACATTTGTCCAGAAAGGTAAAATTGTCCCTGTAGTTGGCCAACATGCCGTAAAGCCGTGTTGGTGTGTGTAAAGATACTTCCATTGTGTACGTCACTGCGAGTTTTACGAACCGGTTCAGATTTACGCCTGTGGAAACAAAAGAAGAGGATCCGTGCAGAGAATCGACCGTCGATCGTCTAGTTCACGGATCGGAATTCTGTCCGCCGTGGTACTCCTGACAGAACAACAAAGAATAACGATTACAAATGTCAGGGTACAAATCCGTGACTTCAGAAAATAGGCCGCCTGAAGACTATTGGAATTGTGTTAATCGGTGGGGTGGTTTAGACTGGGGTTAGTCCATAAGTTTAGAAGGACGAAAACACGTACCGGTACGTCAAGGATACGAACCCTTGTCTTAGGACTATGCGATTCCTTGTCCCGGCGACATATGAAGACATTGCCTTCAGTATAGTTAGCAGGCTACGAGCTAGAGGACTGGAGTTCAGTTCTCAGATGAGTTAAATGTTTCTCTTCGCATCAACAACCAGACCGACTTTGGGGTCAACCCAGCCTCTTTGCCAATAGGTACCGGGATCTTTCCTCGGGAGTAAAACGGATGGCGTGTGAAGCTAACCACTTATCTTCATCTAGTACCGAGTTTAAAGATACCCCTACTCCCCCATACGTCTGTAGTGCGTGGTAATTAGTTAAGAACCAGCGCCTATCTTTTACCTATGACGTACCACGCCATGAAGAAGTGTAAGGGTGTAGAGGTACAGCTTCACTCTTTCTTGACCTCGACACTAGACGGAGGTGGATGTCTGGTGTCACGCCCCGGTACCAGTGAACGGAGGCTGGACCACAGAGATGGTCTAAACTTGGTAGCTAAGGAAAATCTGTTGCCCCTGCCATGAATCGAACCCCTATTGTCCAACCTGTAGCTTGTTTGTGAACGTCATTGTGATTCACTCTTACACAGTGTCATGAACACTTTGCTGTCTTGTACATGAAGCCAGTATCATTACGTATGACACAGGTATTCTCCGTTCAAACACCAGCTTCGGGCTAAAATATTCCATATGGAGAGAGTTTTTGACATGATGGATCTATCACATAATTGACCCGTTTCATGTTAAAAGGTTATAGCACTCAACTTCTTGTTTACGTTGTTCCACATCTCACGTGCTTCCAAACTCACTGCAACGAGGGCATAAGTCACTTGCACGGGACGATGATATCAGACAATGAAAACTGTTTTGTTAATTCAGCCCAGCTATTAAGTTCAGAAAGCTTTGTTTTAGAAAGCTTTGTTTCAGCAGATCTCATTGACTAGGAGGCCTACGTAGTCTAGGGTAACGGGTTCGAACTCCGCTGGGGGCGTGGATGTTGTTTTTCAGTTGTCCAGTGTAATTGAAGATGCTTTAGATGGGCGAATCTCCGTCCCAAGATTCTTACTGAATGTGATAGTTGAGAGTTGACGTGAGGATGGTGTGGTTCTTGTGGGTTCTGGCGCCGTGTGGGTTATTTGATAGGTGTCTGAAGATGCAAATGGTACGCTTCTTAGAAATGTGTACATCTACCGACGAGTCCAGACGACGCCAGAACCCAGAAGAACAACAAAATAATCTTGTTGAATGTATAACGATTTAAATTAAAGGGACATCTCTACACTGTTAACCAAAACGGTAAAATAGAATCGATAGAGAAGTCAAAAGTGAGTTTTATTTATGAGATTGCGTGACGCATATTTACGTCTTTAGAAAATGATGTGTACGGAAACAGAATGACTTTTTATTTTGTAGATTCTTGGACCGTGGTCTGTATGTACATCAATAAAAGAGGCTGAACTAGAAAGAAAAAGTTGTTTCGATCATAAAACATTTAGCTTCGACACTGCTGGTGGCTCCATTGTAACCACTTCATCCGAAAGGTACAAGTACAGATTTGTTGCGGCAAATCTAATGAGATTTAAAATTCTGTTTACAAAGCCTGTCACAAGAAAATATATTTCACTTTATATCAGCCGATGCAATCTTCATTATAACTCATTAAATGACCCAGAAGACAGAAATCTTCATACTCACCGCTATGAAAACCTCAAATCTTACTCATTAAATGTACATAATACATTAAATTCTTGAAATATTAATATGTAGATCACGGTCAGATCTATATTATTTTATGTACGAATTTTTGTACCACCAAGAGTATTTTTTTAATATTTGAGCTTCATGCGATGTAGCGATTATATTGGGCCGATATAGAACAAATTGAAAATTACAACGTAATCTCCGTACAAAATTGAAAATTACAACGTAATCTCCGTACAGAATTTTAATCGCGGTTCCTGTGATTTTTTTGTTGTTGTTGAAATAAACACACGTCTTGAAGTGTAATACATCCCCAAAATATGTTCACTTTACACATTTAAAGCAACAGAATAATTCTGTAATCATTACAAAACGCCCGGTCGTAACAGCTCCGGGCACCGTCACTCCGTTCTCCACTTCGCGCTGTGCCCAGTAGCTGTGCGCGTGCCCTGGTTCTTTAAACTTCTCTCTGAAGAATCAAGCACATTGAATCCTACGGGCTGTAGCCTTCAGCTGTCATCCAGGTCTTCATCAACATGATATCATCGTCATCAGAATTAGAGTGGGAAAAAAAGGTCTAACAGAAATTGGTGGCATGAAAGAGTAACCATTGTATGGTTTTTGATAAGTGGTTAGTAGCCCGCAATCCACATCCGACCGTTCGTGTGGGGTCAGTGACGAATTTTTCTGAATTTGGGGCACGGAGGGTGAGTACCGGAATTCAACGTTGCTTGAAAGCCTAGAAGGGTCGGACAACTTTGGGGTGCAGGTGATAGATCCAAGCGTCCCTTCCACTTCTGACGTATTTCTGCTTTGTAAATTAATAAATACTTTGGCTGTACTGTACTAACAAATAGCATCGCTAGGTTATGACTACTTTTATTTTCTCAAACGGCATAGGAGGCATGCACATTTAACCCTTTCCATGCTACCGACGAGATATCTGGTTTGTAAAATACTGGCCCACACTCGAATTATTTGATGTTTGATATTTCCCACCAACTCTCACAACTTGTTTGTAGGCCTGATTTTTATTTATCAGTAATCGAAATTATATATTTTCAAGGAAATATTATGTAGTAAAATCCGAGATGCAAATGGCTAATTGCACATCGTCAAATGTAGTTCTTAAAAATATAAAAGTCATATTTAGCAGTGACATTAAAATAAATCTTAATTATTAATTTTTAATTTAGAAAATGTAACCTTCCTGGCAATTACAATGTCAATGAATTCAGAAGAGAAGATACTACAACGTTGCGTTTGTGTTTATTTGCACGTAACCAAAGTTGAAATAAGCTTTACAGTGCACGGTGTGTCCATAGGACACATAACCTAACCTAGCCACTGTTCAGTCGCCCCTCTGTGGGCGACAGTTCAGAATCGAATCGATATTAAAGCTACCTCCACGGAACAGATGTGACATCTGTGGTTCTTGCGACGATGGGCACGACGGTGTTCTGTGTTGTGACGCCTTGTAGGTTTATATTATCCTCCATTTGCTTCTAGATCTTCCAAGTGACATCTTGTCATCAATTTGTCTGACTAAAATTTTGTATTAGTTTGTGATCTTAGCTGATGATTTCTGTTCCTTGAAAATATATCACTACTTCAACGAAAGACATGTTAAATTAGTTCCACAATGGAAGTTAAGTAACAGAGACCTAAGAGCTTTGAAGATTGACCTAGCCACTATATACAATGCTAATGTAGGGTCTTTCCATTGATAATGGAATTGACAGCACACTTCCATTTAGTGTACAAGTGAAGAATGAGTAGAACACTGTTATCTGCATGTCGCCGGTACAACTTCATGGCGCACTGACTAAGCGCAGAAGACATTTTACCGTTAGTTTTAAATATTTTGATTAAGATCTACGTTTCAGGCGACAGTTAAATGACTGACACTTAACCTTAGTGACTCAGACCTGCCTTACAAGACAACTACTTCAACCTCACAGTTGTTTCATACGTATTTTAATTGTGCATCGCAAAATACCTTCAAAGTTTCCTATCATAAGCTGGCCACATTGTCGTTCTTCATTTCTTTAAAGCCCATTTTAATGGTTTCTTTCTAATTCAAATTGTATGTGTATTTCTTGTTTCCTCCTTGGACCGTACGTGTCTCTCTCGTCTTAACTTAGTAACGTATTGAGAGTGAAAAATTAGCAACTCCTTACGTACTTTTTTGTGTTTTATTCCATTTTCTTAGCTTCGAATATTCTACTCGGTCTGTATAACACAATTCCATTTTCTTAGCTTCGAATATTCTCCTCGATCTGTGTTATTACTTCACGTTGATAGTTTCAAGCCTAGATGAGATTGTGGGTTTGTATGACTTTCTGTGTACGTTTTCTCAAATTTGGGCACTGTGGTTCAAGAATTTACGTTCTCACGATCTGTTCTAATCAGAATCCTTATGCAGTTGTGTAATCTACACCGTCCGAGCTACATGACTAGCCCAACGTAATCTCTTTTATTAATTTTCTCCGTTACCAATATGAGATCTGTAATACTCTAGGTTGTGAAGCGATATGTTCACAAGAAACACTGATAATCACCTACAGGCGTCACAATCGACACGAAAATTATTCGTTCCTCGTTGCTATGGAAGATTAAACGCTTAAAGATACCAACGTTTAATTAACTATAATACATCAGACCTACGTCTCATTTACGTAACCCATAAACTATATGTACTACACATTTCACTTGAATACTAAAAATATTTTCCTCCAAAAAAATGAGTTGCAAATGTTATCATTTGGCGAAGAGTTCTAATCTTTCCGTTACCCTACCTGAAGCGACGGTCCCCAGGCATTACGCAGATGCTCCGCACTATAGACACTTCACTGTTGCGTCTCCAACCGCACCAAGTCACTGAATGGCGTTCCGGGCACGTGCTGTTCCGGTTATAAGCGAGCTGAAGCGTCGCTGAGACTTCCACTGCATACAGTTCGCTCAACGTATCATGACGAGACTTTGAGCAATCGATTTCCAACCGCGGATTTCAAGTGTCCCCACTTAATGTTTTACCAAATGCGAAATTTGATTCTGTAATCCAGTAACAGGTTCTTATCGCAAAGCCGATATTCCAATTTTATTTTCGATTGGAGTGCTAACTGAAACTACCCGAAGCTAATGTGAATCGGGATAACGCTGATAGTTGTTGATTACTGATTGGCGACCGAAGTTCCCGATCCCCGGCAGAGACAGGAATGTTTGTCTTCGTCACCACAGCTCTGAGTATCTCCCGGTGTCCTATTCGATGGATATCGCCAGCCTTTTCCCAGAGAGCAAAGCGTGAAGTCACCGTTCACTATCGACATCCGATACGGTATTATAGATGAATGCAGTTGTACCACCACTGCCCCACACGTCTTCATGACGAGGTCACAACTATGATAACCCATCTCCGAAACGTCGTTTTTTACGTTTTATATTTACTAGACGATGGATAATATCCAAGAAAATTTTTATTCAAGGTCCGGAGATAGGGATTAGCTCTATCTAGTGGGCCCAACTGTGTAGGAACCTGAAGACGGAGATAGAGTCCCATCTCCGAAACGTCGTTTTACGTTTTATATTTACTAGACGATGGATAATATCCAAGAAAATTTTTATTCGAATGTTATTATCATCTTTGCACGGTCAAGAAGCTCCATCTTATGAAACCGCAAGATGTATTACGGTGTTCACAGCAGCCCGTCATTTGATCGTCTTATGGAACCGCAAGATGTATTACGGTGTTCAGAGCAGCCCGTCATTTGATACTTCATGAGATATTATCAGAATCCATTTCAGTGTTATTTTCCCATCAGCGATGCATTCCGCAGTGTAAGGAAGTTAGTAACATAAAGGAAGTTTGTTTCCATCATGAATATTTTGCAGGACCCTCTACTGCAGGAAGAACAACGTTTCGTATGTGTGTTGGATGCAAGCATTGTCATACTGTTGAAAAGATAATTGATGTAACTAGTGTTACCAACACACAAGGCATCTTCGTATTTAAATGCGAAGGAATCACGATTATGTCAGACTTGAGGACAACTATCGACAGACCTCTGAAGTATAGTGTACAGCGTTGTTAGCTGCTTCGTTTCTTTCCGATAGAAATGTGGAAGAACAGTGGAGACACGATCTGTAAGGGTGAATACGTCATTGTCCTTTAAGCCACTGTTGCTACAGGATATTTTCATATTTTGACAGGTCGCTTCCTTCGTAGTGGCCATAGAGCTATTGTTTAACTGACACCTTTGGAATTCCAAGTTGGACATCATCGTGTGTGGCCGGTACTGCCAACACAAACGCGGAAACAGAGCTGATAACAATTGTCTGAAAGTTGGTAGACATGAAATATATTCTTGATCCCAGACTTTTATAATATCGAGAAAATTGATATTGAGTTTAGTGCGTATGTCTTTCTTTATGGTCGTCGATAAACTATATTATTTAAACACTCTTGTCACAAACAACTACATTAATTGTTGAAAGTTGTCAGCATTGTTCTCAATGCAAGTATTAACTCTGTCGCCTACACTGCAGAATATATTTTCTTGTTGTGTTTTCCCACAAGCACGAACTTAATTTAAATACATTTCATTTTATTTAAATTAAACACAAATAATCGGTACACAACAAGCTGTTTGATACTCGTTTGAAACTTAATATCTATAGAAGTTGGTGTGTTTGGGGCTGCAGGTCGAGAACATTGAAGGCAATCGCTACTTGACGAGAAACGTACCAGAAGCACTGTAGAGCTAGCGACGATCGTGGGAGCACCTGACCATTTTTCAACACAAAACGTAGTTAGTTATTCGTCACAGTTTTGCGTTCAGTAATAACGTTTTGTTGCAATTATACTTATGCTAAACCTTTTCTTTACGACCAACTGCGAACTCTAAAATATCACCAGCTCATCCAAGGGGAATAATAGATATGATTTATGTCGTCTTATCCCCTTTATATTTGAATCCAGCTCATCCAAGGGGAATAATAGATAGGATTTATGTCATCTTGCCCCCTTTATATCTGAATAAAAAAAAAGTCGAAAACAAAATACAGACGATAGACAAAGTCCAGAAAGACTATTTTACGTATTGTCTTCAATAACCACCAAACCTAACAGCGTATGTCGTAAGTTTTTCGGACTCCGTACGCTCTAAAATTTTTCTGTCTTTCCAGCACACACGCGTTACATTTTTCTATATGTCATTACGAGACATCCTGTTTATGGTAGATTCTATTACTGCACTACTAAGAGACAAGAAAGGGAAGTTCTTGTCAAGCAAAAAGGTTATTTATGCCGCACTAAGAAACGTGGTAGAAGTACACAGTAAGAGAATTCTTTTATTTTCTCCAATTTGGTTTTAATTATCCTTTTGGCTGTGGTTATACTGTAACACATAAAATCACTACTCCGTTGATATAAAGCACCTAAGAATAATGACGATTTGTGATCCAATTTTTATATTCAGGAGGCGTCACAGCTAAGTAACATTTACAGCAGGAGAACACTTAAGTATGGCGATTACTGCATGAACCAGAGGAAAGTTTAGGAGTGCGTGGAAGAACGCAGAGGAACGGAATGAGTGTTGGTGACGAGCCTTTTGGGTGGACATCGACTGTAATTTGGGGTTAAGGAACAGATCTGCCAGCACGTACACGAGATTACCGAGAAATTGGTGCTTTTGGAACTGCCCCTAAAATAAGAATGAGTCAAAGAAAGAACCGGTTCTATATTGGCCGAAGTCCCAGTCCAGTTATCTTTATGGAATCAGGAAAATTGTATAGATCGTTAGATCGGACGCATTAAATAGCATGGCGATACGTGGCAAAATTAGATGTATTTTAACTGCTGTGTGGTTATTTTGTAAAAAATGTAATAAAGTTGTTTTTAGATTTTGTCTTACTTTTGTGAAATAGTTTATTTAGAAGATGAAACAAATGGACCAACATAACATCTTTGTGTTGTGTATTTACTGGGTCCGTTCAGCGCAAAGAATGCTCACGATGATGTTCAATGGCGGACTTTGTAACTACATTTATGAACCTCTGGGGTCTAATGAACAGGGTATTTCTTCACTATTTGAGTAACCTTCAGTGTTTCAAGGCAAAGCTGTAATGTAGACTAGGAAGGAAGCTTGATAAAACGTTCAATAAATGTCTTGCATTCACTTATGCCTGGAATTCTGAATGAACAAAATTCTTGTTTCTATGTGACATATGTTAGCGTGTTAACAATTTGGCCAGGAAGAGACCGGTCTGCAAACTGAGAAGAGAAATTCTGTGCCCAAAATGTTAAATACTTCTGCAAAAGCCTATGTAGACTGCCGTCTGTCATCTTTGAAGTTAGTTGACCAAAATATTGGTTAAGACGGGCGATGGCTGTAAAGTTTGCAGCGCCATCAAAGTAGTGTCTCTATCAGATTAATAATAATTTGTACGTATCACCAGATATTTTACGGTGATCAAATGAAAAGGATGTAGATGAGATAGGTGGGGTATCTAAGACGCTTAGTGGAGGTGATAAAAGGAGTAAAAGCAGTCGAAAAATATGAATGTAACAGAATATTTGGGAGACTTAGGATAAGGAGAGGGTACACAGTCTTAAAATGAGTCAGTTTTTGCTTAATATTCAACAGCATGAACAGTTTTTGATTTAGTTGCCGTAAGTTGTCAGACACAGTCTTAAAATGAGTCAGTTTTTGCGTAATATTCAACAGCATGAACAGTTTTTAATTTAGTTGCCGTAAGTTGTCAGCTTGTTAAGTTAATTGTTCGCTAAGTCCATGTTTTAGACTATAGACCTAAGTATTTGATAAATGTCAGTAAGACGAATATAGATCTGAAGATAATAATAATTCATTAAAATTAATATTTGTTAAAAATTACCGTACGTAGTAACTAGCTAGTTTCGCCTGTAATTATAAATAAATATTTTTTGTGAACAAGCTCAAATATTTGCAGACAGAAATTAAGTTTTCTGATTTAGGTAATCCTACTAGGTATTCAAGCTTCTTTTTCTACATTAAATGCGAAAGATTGTTATTTTTACCCAACAAAATGAAAGCAATCAGCTTATAAAATGTTTATTATTGACTATGACATTCTGGTAATACATTTTGCTAAAAATGCGTAAGTCATAGATAAGAGACTTATCTGCTTCAAAGCTTAGTCTTTCAGATGTCACAAAACTAGAGATAAAGCAAGCGAAGAGGAAATGCTGTTAACCAGGTTGAAATCTCTTGAACTATATCCTGATAACGCCATTTGACTTGGAATTCAAAAAGTTCAGATGAGCTGTCATACTTAAAATTTAATTTCACAAACGATTAGTACATCAGACATGACATCATTATTTGATTTTTAGACTAAGTCACTGTAGCAACTGAGGCTTAAGTTATTATGTTATCGTGTTGTGTGCGTGTTTGTGTCTCTCCTACTGAGAGAGCTGGGTACAGGGAGAAGGGTAACGGTGGTTTTCGTCTCCCTCTGACGTGTTTGTACGTGGAAACACGTCACAGTTTAGTGATCTGAACTACTGCTTTATATCTGGGAGGTATGTGGTTCTCAAACTTTTCCTCAGGCCGTCCATACGAATACTACGACCGCTTCATTTTACAATGTTCCCAAGTTATCATTTATCATAACTCCTACTGATAACCGATGCAGCTTAAAAATGGTAGTTACATAATTATTATGATGTCCATAATTCTCACAGCAAATAATAAAAGTAATAATTCAGTTCCTTTGTTAAGAAGCGTTTGCCAACAGCAGTACCCAACAACAGATAGCTCTAAATTAAATATCAAAAACTAAAATAAAAAATTAAATGGAATTTATGGATTAAATAGGACCACGCCGTGAAAA